CGGCGCGCTTCGGCCACAGGAGGTGAGCAATGTCGCGTTTAGAACTTCATTCATTCCTATGTCAACGTCCTCCCCATAGGTTTTGTTTATTTCTAAAGTTTGCTTCGCATCTAACGCGTTCCCGTCTCTTTTCGCAGATCCGTCGTACCGGGCGTGGCTACGCGGGCGACCAGGATCACCACGTCGCGCGGCTCCACCAGCAACCGCCAGCGTCGCAGCCACCGTGGGACTTCCCCCACCATAGCCGGAGGAGCGCCCCAGGACCCCGCGGCCAGGATATTCGCGATCGCGAGCGCAGAGGACAAGACTGCGTTGTTGGGGCGCGTTGTACAGCCGGACACGGTAGGTGTTTCACCATCCGACCTGGTAATGCATTCTTTCCATCTGTGACGCTTGCATTGATCGTCTGTTTGTTTGGTATGCCCAGGTTCGCCGCTGCGAGGCGCCCGGTCCAGGCTTTGGTAATGAGGGGCTTTGTCGGCAAACGAGTATTTCTACGGATGTCCAGCTTCGTGGTTGTCCTGCTTTCTGCCGTGTGAGCTGGCTGTGTGCCGCCGTGCCCCGACGGTACGCTCGTCAGTCCCTTCAGGCGCTCAGGGCCGGCCCTTAGTGTGACGAGCGTCTCGTACCCGCCCTCCAGCGCTACCGCTGCTGCCTCGCACCTTCAGTGCAGGTGGGCGAGCCGGCTCGCTCACCAGGGGCGGCGGTTGGTACGTGGAGTCGGCGGTGGTGGCTGGCGTGTTCACGGGCAAATATCGCATTTGGTGGACAAGTTTTTAAAATGGACGCACGTTCGAGGCACGACGTCCCGCTGAAATAGGAGTTTGTCAATAACGCCTCTCCCTTGAAAGTTATTTGGTTTGTTCTGTCGGCTCGTTGCTCAAACCCTCCCTTGTTCCAGGCATAGTCTAAGTACTGCAGTAGAACTACAAGGTGAGTACGACTAGCACCCCCCCCCCCCTTCCGCATTTTCTTTTTGTCCGGCGTTTCTCTTTAATCCCGTTTTTGTTTGGCAGACGAGACGCGTCGAGGATGGACGGCCTGCTCCAACATTCAGCCTACTTTGTTTATATTCTACCTGTCTGTAAAAAGATTGGAATAAAGATGTTTTTCGAACGAAATAAATGGGGAAAGGGTTGGGGTTTCTCCTGCAGCCCGTCGCTGCGGACGTCGTTCAGAGAAGGTGAGTGTTCGTTGATCGCTGTACCGGTTCTGTTAGCACGCTGCCTTGTGTGGTTCCATATCTTACGCCCTTTTCTGTTTCAGACCCGCCGCCGCTGCGCCCTTCCCGTCGCCACCACCGTGGGACTTGCCCGCACCGCAGGACTCTTCGGCCAGGACACTCGCCGGGCGCCGAGGACAACTGCGTCGTCGGGGTGCTACACGCCCCTTCGCGGCCGCCCCTGCTCCGCGCCCCGCCCCGCCGCGCTCTCTGCCGCGGGTTTGGGGGCGCCCTGTGACAACTGTCCGCCTGTATCCTTCGGGGTAGGCCCTGTCGCGTACAGAGCGAGGGCTGCTGTCGAAGGTTGCTCCTCCGCGCTGACCATCTCCGGGGCGAAAGCGTTGGGCTCCAACCATCCTCTGCGGCAGAGGCAGAGCGGGGCGGAGGCTGCGCTTGCCGGGGGCTGGCGCGGGGCTCGGCGGACCACCCCGGGCACTCCTGCAGGACCTGCGGAGGAGCGCCAGGTCGCAGAGGACACCGCTACCACCTCAACGGCCGTCACCAGCGTCGCCACCACCCCCCCCCCCTCTCTCTGAACGTTACTTGCTTTGTGTTGGCTCGTTGCTCAAAATATTTCTTGTTCCAGCCAGGCATCAGACGCTGTTCCCGGCC